TTAAAAATCATCCCTCAACAGGCCAGCACCTTAGAAAAGAGACCCTAAGGATAGTAGCAGGTGAATCAGCAGCTCATGCTGGGGCAGTTCCTGGTAAGTGAGTATTTACTGATAGTGTTAGGCTTACCCTAGAGTCAGGTTGTGGCCATAGTAAGAGTCATTTCCTTAATACACTGCACAGAGAGGCACTGAGCAACACAGGTCACTTGAGGATTTTTGTAAGGTAATGTTGGTCCCCCTGGGGAAACAACACAGAGTAGGGAAATTCTCTAATGATCTGAGAGCAGCAGGCATGTAGGAGCTGGCACCAAGGTGGACATCAGGCAGCAGGTGTTGGGAAAGATACCGGTATTTTTTCCCACTGGGAAGCCTACGGTAGCCTCGTCCTGCAAGTATATTCACATGTATGTACATACAAATGATTGCCTACAAGTATATGCGATCTTGCTGTCACTCACTTCATCACCAGTCTCAGGGAGGCTTCAAGTCCTTGTTCTTACAATAAATTTTTTTTTCACCTTGTGCGGAAACTGTAACCTCAGTGTAAAACTAAAAGGTTCAGAAAACCAGAGACAAGGAGAAAGTTCTCAGATCTATCTCAAGTATTGTGAGACTAAAAGGTAAATAGCTTTTGTGGTCTTTTCTCTTTTCAGTTTTTAAGGGCTTAATGCAAGAAATGTTCAATATGATATAAAACAATCAGCCCAAATCAAGTGAAAGCCACTGCACAAAAATGAACAAATAAGGATAAGTACTTGTATCTTGGAGTCTTTTTCTTGTGACAGGTCCAGCCTCTTCTTTGCGCTATGAACATGTGATAATTTGGTCTGAAATCTCTTATTCTAAGACACAGCCTGACAGAGGAAACACAAAACTTCGCTAGGACAGGGCCTGCTGTGCAACCGTTTTCTTTGCTCTCTCTGAAGGAGCAGAGTGGAGGAAATAAGCAGAACTTCAACCAGAGCACATGCTCTGGAAATGTCTTAAATAAAGCTCTTGAAGTTAGGAGGTTCATTTAAATGGCTTCCCCATACTTGTGTTAGGGAAGTTGTTTACTGTTCCATAAAACAGGCTTCTTAAAATTCCTGGAGATCAGGTGCTGGAAAGTGTGCCCATGTTTTGCTCTGGTTATGTTGTAGATGGATCTTATATGGGCTGATGTATTCTCTTTTTAACTATGGTGAAATTAATAGCAGAAGAGTGAGTTTCCAGTACTTCCTTTCCTGTTTGGAGTGTAGAAGTGCATAGGGAGATTGTATGAATGTGGAAACACTATTTTTTTTGTTAGTGCGATCATGCTGGTTCTTTTTTTTTTTTTCTTTTTTAAATGTTTTCTAGACCAGAAGGTGAGAAGGATAAGGAGAAATAGGTTTTATTTGCTGCTTGGGTGTTAGCTCTTTGTTGTGCTATTTCCTCTTTCTCTGCTGCCTTTAACTCTCAAATGAAACAGAGGAAAGGTAAGCCACGGTATGACAACAGAATGCTGTTGAAAATTTCTGTACAGCCTCTGTAGCTGTTCTCCTGGCAGGTTTGTTCCCTTGTTCTCAGATGTCCTAAACCAAAGTACAAGTTGAGGGCATGGGTGGCTGGATTGGATAGGGATGGGAAACAGCAGGCATCAATAGCTCTCGGTAAGTGCACAGGCATCGAAGCAGGCAGTAAAGGAATCAGAAGAGTGCCCTCAGAAAAGGTCAAGTATTGCTGCAAGAGCCTTAGACATGCCTAGAGAGCAGATGGGCTTACTCAAGCGTGCACCAGTGATGTTGCTCATCATAGCACTACCGGTCTTATCCCTGCATGCAAATCAAATGCTCAGCTGAAACTATGATTCTGAATTACTGATGACCATTTGCATTACAGTGATTTCAGATGTTTTCCATTTGTTGATTCCTAGAGATTTGCTAGTGGGAGCATAGCTTAAGGCCTCCAGGTTTATGGCACATCTTTTAGGCCTCTGTTGCCCCAAGGTGATTAAAGACTTGCTCTAGCACACGTGATACACAACAAAGGTAATAAGGGAGCAAGTGAGCTGTTTAAACTTAATAAAGGCTTAATGCGGCTACCTCACACCACTTCTCTCTGTAACAAATCCAAGCCACTCTTCTTACGTTATTTCTATACCTTTCCCCTTACCTTCTACTGTACTGGCTTGCCATAAAATTTGAATCAGTGTCTTTGGCAGCAAACCCCAGTAACGTGGGTTAAGCAACTAATTCTTTTGCTATTTAAAATACAAGGTTTAGCTTTCCCAGTGCATTACTCTGCAGTGGTGAGAGAAGGAAAGTATTTGTATTTGCTGAATTAACATGCCTTACTTTTCATGCCATGGAACAATATTTGACAAAATAGCATCACCGATGCATTAGTATTTGTACAGAGGTACCCAGTCCTCTTCCATTTTCTTCTTCCCATGTAGGGTCTTGAGCAAGCTTTTAAAATATGATTGATTAATGAAAATCTCCAGTGTAAAGTAATCCACAAATGGTGGGAGGCAGGAGGCATGTAGAAATCAAGGAATATCCCAGCTCATCACTGGGGGGTTGGGATTGAGTTAATGGTCAATAATGGTTTCAACAAAAGCCGTAAATCTAACTTTCTAGTTCCTTATTTATAAACAGTGAAAATAGTACAGCTGCAGTTACATAATTTGTTGCCCAGGAAGTAAACTTCTTATGCAAAAAGCTGCTGTGCACAAAGGGATAGTGTGTCCTGTCTGTCTCTAAATATAGTGAAACTATGAATGTTTACAGTAGTTGAGGGTTTGTCTGCTGTGCTCTCTGCTTTTTCCTGTGCTAAAGGTCCGTAGCAACACATCCCTTCAGCCCCTTCAGAAACTGTATGGCAGAAGAGAGATGGTTGACTTTTTTCAAATATTGTTGCCCATTGGTCTGCTGTGTACATTTGGAGAGTCCTTTCTGGCAACAGGAACCACAGATCATACAAAACGAGTCAAAGAAAATTAATGTTCGTATTACAGGCTGCAGTCTCACAATAGATGAAGTGGGAAGGGAAGCAGTCACCTTGAGCCCCCTGTTCCTTTCTTCATTTGGAGAAGAAATGGGTGGGCAGCCAGGTGCAAGGAGGACATCAGTGCAACCACAGAGCCAGACCTTCAAACATACCCTGGAGCCTTCTGTTTTCTAAGTGAAATGTTTCCCAAGGATGTTATGGAGGCTAAGACTGTTGTAGGGTTACTTGCCTACAACACAGCAGCAGCACTCTAGTTCTTCATTTTGCACTTGCCTTTAGTGTGTGTGTGTGTAAAGGAGGTTTCAATAATATTTTCCATTCTTTTTAAAGCAGTTTGAGAGCCTCAGGGAAAAGTGCTAGGCAGGAGCAGTACTATTACATATAAGCCTCTAGGTTATACACAGCAAGAGATGACAAAAATAGCAGACAGCTGGGACTGTGCAAAGGACTGGGGTAAGGAATGAGCAAGGAAGGTTGGGGAAGTCCCTGAGGTTTAATGGCTGAGTAGGAAGAGATGTGGTATATGTACTGGCCACCCATAATAAACTTGCAAGAAGGGCAGAAGGATCATTACAGATCTTACAACATATAACAAGCAAGATACAATAATGAAGTAGGATGATTCATTCTTAGAAACTATTATTAATCACTTTATGTACTGTGATAATGATGAGCAGGTATAAAATATTAACTGCTATGTTTAATTAATATATCCTCAGGTTGTGATTCCACTAATTTAAAAAATGCCTATTCACTTCAGCAAGATTAATTCCAGGATAAGGTACTACTGAGTATGAGCAAAGGCTTGAATGCCCTGCTTGCCAAAAGCAACTTTTTAGTAAGTTCTGGTACAGGATGAATTTGATCCCTGGGGTTGTTTAAGGAAAGGTTGGACGTGGTGCTTAGGGACATGGTTTAGTGGGTGACAGTGGTGGAAAGAGAATGGTTGGACAACATGATCTTGGAGGGCTTTTCCAACCTTAATGATTCTAGGATCAATGGGAATTGATAGTATACTTCTGAGATAAATTACCATAGAAATGCTTTTATAGGTAACCTGTTTTTGTAGCCTGCTAGTATTCTGGCGATGCTGAAAGGAAGAGAATTGTTTCTGTTGTCTGTAACATAAGGTCTGGGCTCTTCAGTTAAAATGAATGAACAGTGATTTGTAAATTGTCATATTCCAGAAACACCTTAGTGATTCCTTCTACCTTTGGAACTCTTTTTAGCAAGGTTGTTGTAACATCTATTTTTTTCTAGTGTAGCTGTTGACAATTTCAGCAAGAAGGTGTTGCTCCACATAATGGAGGCTCACTGTGTCTTGGCTTGTAGTGTAACATATACAGCCATCCTTCTCTTCTGTGCCTGGGCAGTAGCACTGCTTTAAAACTTCTCTCTTGGGTAGTGAAAACTAAATGAGTTTCCCTATGCAAGACTAAGCCACGATAGAACCTGAGTCCTGAGAGACAAATCTGGCCTCCAGATTTGACCAGGACAGGGAACTGTAAAGACTGGCTTTTAGAGGAATATGATTTTATTTCTGTAGGCTAGTTTGGAAGTGTTATAATTTCACATGCATCACCAAGATGTTATTTGTAACGAAAAGCCCACGTTTTAGATAATGCCGGCTACATACATGTGGGTAGTACAAGAGGAGGTTTATTCCTGAAGTACCTGTGCCTATACTTCTCCTCCACCCCTCAAGTTCCCCAAACACCAGGAGTTGTCTCTCTTTATCAAGAGCTCTTCTGTATCTACTTCTGATAATGTGACAGGCTTCACACATCTCTAGGGTGACTGACAATACCTAAACTTTTGAAGAAGGATTGTCTGAACTGAGGGGTTTTACCGTTGGATATGGTGTATTTCAGCCCAGCATCTGATTGTTTGATGACACTCTGAGTCGTGAGTTGGAAGTAGTGTCAGCTCTAGCTGGTTTGCCCAAAAGGTCTCAGATTTGTGCTGTCATGTTAGTACCTGTTTCAGTAGTCTTCATCTGTGTTATGTACAAGCAGACATGTACCATTTGGTTCCAGGCTCATGGTAGCTTTATTAAAATCCAAAACTTACTATTAGTAGAACTGATAAAATTTGAGAATATAAGAGACATTTACATATGTGAATTCCCTGCCTGAGGGAACGAAGTATGAGTTTGTGGAGTAAAGACTTCAGCTATGGTTCGTTCTTGCTTATTCAACGAAAAACAAAGGGGAAAAACAAAATACAGTATCTTCAAAATATCTTTTTTTTTTTTTTTTTTTCAATTCTGTCCCAAATGAAGGTGAAAGCAACTTCACAGAAGTCAGTGAGTAGGACAAGTCTTCCAAAGTACAAGTCTGAATAGGGTTGCTTTCTTAAAGTTACCCTGAATTACCCCAGGTTAGCCCTTGGTGAGCGTATCCATACCTCACATGGGCCTGAGAGTAAAGTCAAAGCTAATAGTGCAATACAACATATAAAAATAGAAGGCCGAAGACCCCCTTCTTAAATACTGCACTGATCAGGCAATAGCCTGAAGCATAAGATTATCTTTCTTACAGTTTATATAGGTATGAGTAACCATACAATTATACAGAACCTCTTGAAACCCAGCACTCAATGCAGAACATTGACCTCCGTCATCACAGAAGTCTGTACTTATCCATCTCTCTGAGAGGTAAGCTATTCTATAGCATGTGAAACAATCTGCCGTTCGCCCTTAAATACTATATGGGTCAGGTCAGCAAGGATGAGAAGATACCTACATTCAGTTGTAAATAAATATTAACAAGCATTTCAGAAAATAAACAGTGTAACAGAGTCCAGCTATAAAATTAAGTCAGCAGATATTCAGCCAGTGATAAATAGATTCTGATGAGTTCATGTTCAGAGAATTTATTGCCAACAAGGACTACAAGCAGATATTAAGGCTTTCATCCCTGGTCTGTGTAGCACTGATGATGATTCCATTCTGTTGGTCTTAGATGCTTGCCTGGGACAGGATTATTTTTTCTTGGCGGTACGTTTTTGGTCTATTCTCTTCATAGCAACTTGTACCCATTTCTGATCAGGGTGTACACAGATCTTGATACCTTTTGCTGTGATAAACCTGCAGGAAGAAAAAGTCAGACAGACATTAAATTCTGGTCTACAAAGCCAGGCTCAAAGTTCTACTTTTATGCAGAGCATGAGGATCTGTATGGTAAAACCATATCACATGCTTGAGTTTGTAGTAGTTACTTGGTGCTTAGTAAGTGCTTAGTAAGTGCTTAGTAACATCAGTTCCGTATCTGTGGCATAGGTATGTATGTAGCATATATGCATATATGGTGATATTCAATTAAGAAAAAGGAGCAGGTCCCAGATTTGATTAAAAAGCATGTGCTTGTGAGATCAAGAGACCAAACGTCTCCTAGCAGAAGTCATAGTTAACGCAAACTCTTTCATATGATCTTTCCCCTTGGCTCAGTGTACTGGGCTTCTGGCTTTACCCTACCCCCTCACTGAGATTTCTTCAACTTTCTGGGCAGAAAGATGTAGCTGTTTAGTGAAACTTCTACCAGCACTCATGAGCAACATGTTGTTCAGGCTCTTCAGGATCTCCCTTTTGTCTCCCTCACCTCCTCAGTTGCTGATTTACTGTTTCATGCAGGAACTGGAAGGGTGATCTGAACTAGCCTGATTTAGCAAGTTGGGCTTTGAAGTGTCTTCTGATGCCATTTCCCTTTTGATGGTAGCTTGGTTGCATAGATAAGTCTGAAAGTGGACACCGCACCAAATACTTACATGACAGCATTTAAGGGAACTTGTTGCTTTTCATAGTTGACAAGCTGTCTGATGTCCAGTTTCTGTGTAGATAGAGTCACACAAGAAAATTTGCGCATTGGTTGACTTCCAATGCTTCCTGCAAGGGGAAAAGTAGACGGAGACAAAGGTGGTCAGTACTATATTCACATTTAACCATAAAAACTACATTTAAATTACAAATTCCAGATGATTTCCAGCTATGGTTAGAACTGGAGTGTCTCATGAGATGTGCAGCCAGAATACTAATTATACAAAAGAGCTCAAGGTGTGTTTGTGAGACTATCTTTGAAGTTTTATTGATATCATCATGATTAGGTCTGTATCGTCTGCATATAAGTGCCCATATGGAGTAACGCACCTTTACTAGATAGATTTCAAAATGTTATCTAACTGTGGATCAATATAATTGCCCCTACTTTCCGCAAGAAGGGAAGGAAGGCAAAGCTACTTGTCTCATATCGGGCATCCAAAACTAGCCTAAAAAAACCCAACAACAACAACAACAAAACTACTTGAAATATAGATTTAACTGGCAGAATGCTTAGGATTTGCATACTCTTGCTACAAGTTGAATTTTATGGGTGGTGGAGTGCTACCTAATCCTATATTTTCTCCATCATTTAATAATGTTTCAAGGAAAGGCAATGGAAATTAATAAGGAGGCAGCATCAATATAGAATTCTTTGTGCAACTGTCATGTTGCATAGTAATAATGAAAAATGGCAGCTCATTAAAGTGAGATGGAGTGTATGTATATATTACTGGAAGCCTTTGCTTGATAATTTCTGGTTTTCCCCCACCCTTCAAAGATAGGTTTGGAAAGGCGCGATGAGGACAAACAGAATGCTGCTGTATTCTGAGGTTTATTTTAGAGGAATTTATAGAGAAAGTGCCTTGTAGTCCAAGAGCTGTTCAGGTACAATTTGCTAAGTATAAAACCTGCTTCACGTAATCTCATTATCTGAGAGTTTTTCTTTGTTTGAAGCAGTTGCAATAGCTGAAGTAAATGCGCTTCAGCCTCTGGAGAAGCTGTGGCATGGCCACTGCATGGGTACTGGCAGAGCTGCTAATTCTTGGGATTTTCATTGCCTGAAGGAGTATCTCTTCTGAACTCGTATTAGTCATGTGCGATACAATGTATTTTCTTGAGACTCAGTGTAAGTACTGCATCGCTCAAAACTGTCTTTTCAAAATGTGATGTTAAAGAGTTCAAAGATAGTCAAACAGTTCTTAGTATCCCAGAAAATGGGATTTCTCTTCTGCTAAGCCATTTCCAGGAAATGCACACAAAGAATACCAGCAGAGGTTCTGTAAACCTGGGAACAAGAACAAAGTTTTCCCTGGCACAAAATCTGCACCTATAACTACTCTTTTTTCCCATTCTTCTCCTATCCTTTGTCATTCCTCCTTCTAATCCTTTTTCTACCCCTTGCACACCATCCCAGCGTAATGTTCCAGACTTGGGTAATACTTATGACAAATCAGGCATCCTGGAGCATGGCTGTACAAACTGCCAGCCTGTGGTACTAAGGCACACGTTGCTGAGATGGACAGCAGTCGCACTAATCAATCTATGAGAACATAGCATGATCCAGCTCTAGGGGCACTAAGGCAAAGTACTCAGCATGTAGCTACATAATCTTGTGAATGCTTAGCAGGTCTTAATTTGGTTTTGGTGCGGTTTTGTGAAGATGCCTTTTCTGGGTGTTTATATCTGCATGTTTTTGTGGGTTTGCATATGGCTTGCATATGAGTGTTCTCCGTGATTTTTATCAGCTTGTTTGCATAAAGCTGATTGTACGTGTCTGCGTTTGTGTGGATGTTCTACATGTAGGTCTTCTACAAGATGTGCGTGGCTTAATCCGAAAGTCATAAACGTCACTATAATACAACCCCTCTAGAAACGTGGCTAACAAACATGGTTCATTTCAGTGCTCATTAATGTTCTTAAACAAGATATTAAATTGTATGAAATCAGGAGAAGAGAGAAAACCTTGTATAGATCCCTTGCTTTCCTTTACACTTTTTGTTCTTAGTTTGCCTGTCTATATCCAAAATATTTGTCTAGAAACAAGCACGTAGGTAATATGCAGTACAGAGCGGGAAGAACTTGTAATAGCTGGGGGCATTCAGTTGGTAAAGGCTTTATGGTTTCAGAAGGACATAAAAAAAAAAAAAAGAAAAGTAGTATACCTATTTAAAGGAAAAGAATAAATCTGAAGCTATTTCAAGAAATAATGTATGAAAATGTTATTAATGCATATAGCAGCAGTGAGATTAAAAGACGTCGCATCTTCAAGCTTTCACCGTTTTGAGAGATAATAAGGCACAAAACCCCTGTGAGAGTACTAAGGCATAGAAATTCTCCTTGTGTTAAGGCAGAAGCCAAGCACTAATTGGTAAGACATCAGATGAGATCTCCCATAAATTCCCTCATGCTATAGCTGCCTCTCTTGTAGTTCTGATCTTGGTTTCTTGCAAGTGTTACCTTATGAATCAGCTCTGAGAATGAATCCTGCCTGAATGGGACAGCCCACTAGTACAGCGTGGAGCAATTCCTGTCTTCCTCTTAGGCTGTAAACTTACCTTTTGCTGTGTGCATGGTGAAGACACCAAGCCAGAAGATGACCAGGATAGCTGCAGTATGGAGCTTCATTGCTGGTGGCTTCTTTGTCAAGGCAGAGAAGAAAGTGGTTATCGTGAGCCCCCTTTCACAGAGCTTATATACTGTCACTCAGTGGTCAGTTCTTGTGCTCGCTTATTGGGGCGTCATGGTGGGGTTGACTGTCAGTGGAAAAAATTGAGTGGCAGTGCTTTTTCTGGTGACAGAACCACCTCCTTCTCCCCACCCATTCTTTACTAGCCCCCCTGTGAGGCTTTTCCTGCTCAAACCATGCTGTGGTTGCACTTGCTTCTTTGTTGCAAGTTAGGTTTATTTCAAGCTGCAAAAAGTGAGAGCTCTTGTTCTGTAGTGGAAACCTTTAATAAGTGTTCCTGTCCTTTCACACCTCGAGTTACAGAGCTGCTGCCGAGTCCCACCACAGAGGTAGAGAATAGCATTCAGAGTTACCTCTTTGACCAACGGACCACTTGAAAGGGGAGTTGTGAGCTAATGGATGATGGAAACAGGACAAAAGTGGCGTTTTCCATAGTAGCTATAGATTGTTGGTCACTTGAATGTGCAACTTACGTAGCTTTCACAGAATCACAGAATGGCTGAGGCTGGAAGGGACCTCTGGAGGTCATCTGCTCCAACCTCCCCTGCTTAGGCAGGGTCTCCAACAGCCAGTTGCCCAGGACCATGTCCTAGAGGGCTTTGGAATATCTCTGTGAATGGAGATTCCACACCCAAAAGAGTCCTGATCATGTCAAACATTTAACTTTCACCTGAAACAAATCAAAATGATATAAACTAGAATCTCCGAGAGCAATTAGATCTAGTATGTAGTTATCTTCAATTGTGGGGAAAAAAAAAAGCTGTGATTTATTTATTTATTTATTTATTTATTATTTTTTCTTTTCTTTTTTTCCCAATACTTAATGTCTGTTTTTTTGGAAGTTGCCTACAGATGTACAAAATTAATTCAAATATCTCCTACACCAAAGAGGTTCTCATTTGACTTTGTGTTATCCATAAAAATATGTGCTTGAAAATACACAAAACCACCACCACCACATACACACAGAAAATGATCTCTCCAAAAGCTTTGGAGGGCTATCAGTCCCATTTCCTATGTGTGGTAGAACTTGTCAAAACTTCTGTTTTCTCTGTGATTTATTGCCAAAGCTGGTACCACCAATGTGCTGGGAGAGGGGAACATCCTTTTATTTATAGAGCCAGATCCACTAGCCCTTCTGCTAGTCGTATGTAACTAAAATACTGTGGCTTCAAAGGTAAGAGGTTCATTTTATTTATATGTGTTATGCTGTGGTCTCTCTAGTACAAAAAAGGGAGGGTACTGGACTGTCCTGGGGTTACTGGACAGTGTTGTTACATGACAGCGGTTTTGGGTTTTGCACCAACAAATATTTCCCAAGCAAGTTGTGGAACTCCAGTGAACATATTTAGCAGCACCTGAGCTGGCATCATTGTCTGGAGCCTCTCAGGACAAAAATCCCCTCATGCCCAGTAGAAAAAGCCCTGCTTTGCTAGGCCTACAGAGACCCAGCTGGGCCTTGTATGAATGAATATCACAGAATCACAGAACTGTAGGGGTTGGAAGGGACCTCGAAAGATCATCGGGTCCAACCCCCCTGCCAAAGCAGGTTCGTGAGCACTAAGCTGTCTGTGCATGAGCTAGTAAGGCAGCCGTATAGAGTAGCTGTCAGTGCAACGCATGAAGCAAATGGGAATCTGCTCTGACTTCCAGGCCTCATCTCAGCAGGTTATTTCCAGATTTCAGAATTTTTTATAACATCAATATGAATTGTTTTATACAGGAAAGTACAGCATGCAGAAATCACTTCCCAGCAAGTGCTCAGGAAAATTTGATGGAGCTAAGAACTGAGCTCAGACTGGCTCCTAGGCTGTAGTGGGTGATCTGTAACCCCAGTAATAGTCCGTAGCTCTTACTGTTAGAGAACATGCTACTTGGTTTACTTGTACATATCTGCATGTGACCTGTTCCTTGTGGTTTGATTCTTTCATCTTATGTAAGGCATGCAATCTGCAGAAGAGTAGGGGAAAAGTAGACTGTAAGCAGGCGTAAGGTAGTTGCTGCTTTGTTTGAATGGCTGTTAAATCCACTTGTAATGCCAACATAAGTTGCACTAAAATAGAAAACTAGACCCAAAGTTTTGAAGCCAAAGCTTCAACCCAAAGCACCTAAAGTCCATGTGTAATGCCACACAGGGGAGTAGTTGTACTGACCTTAGCAGTGCTACTGGGAAATTTAATGTTACGTCTTTGTCCAAGCATTGCTGAACACTGCCTGAAATAAATCTTTGAATGAGGTATTCCAACTTGTTGGTATGTGGCAGCTTTGGGATGTAAGATAGCAGCCCTGTCGTTGATGAAAGAAATTTTCTCCCTGTTAGGGCAGGAGATGCTTCCCCACTTCTCCTCAGTGATACGGTGCATGCGTGTTTAGTCACTGATACTGTGCCCACAGCTTTGAGTAAAAGGGTCCACCAGCTGCATTGAGCATGAACCAACTCAGAAAAAGTCAGTCCTTCTCACAGAATCTCCTGCAGTTTGTTGCTTGATCCCTGAGATGGTGTTAGAAAGCCTGTTGCTTCTTCAGTTTTTCACTGTTCTTGATGCAGGGTGGAAAAATGGCCTTGTGGCAAGTTTTTCCCATCTTCATAGTTCTCATTTGCTGTGGTCTCTAAGGCTGTTCTTCTGTGAAGCTGCCTTTTGTCTGCCACTTGGCTGACTCTTTTGTGGTTCACTCATCGTAGTATGTTTTGGAAGTGTGCTGGAGTGAACTGATCGTTTGCAGCGTGTGGTAAAGCCACAGTTGAAATGGATAGTATGATTTTGTAGTTACTTGACTGTATAGTCTGAATTGTGGATAAAGATGATTAACTGGACCATGATGCTTCCCAGGCTCTCATCTACAGGTCTGCTGCTTTGCGTGCCATGACAACTGCCCTTCTCTGCCATACCTTGGTTAACACGTGCCCTCTGTGCCTACAGGGTGCAGGTATGTACAGTGGATAGGGCAGGTATGGATGTGTAGGTGTGTCAGTACCTAACATTGGAAGCCTACTGAACTACAAAAAAAAACTAAAGGCTTTGAGCTTGACTCCCAGGCTTCCTATACAATGAGAGGAGAGAACCAGTCACATACATCTGTGCCCAAAGTATTAGGAAGCACCCAGTAAGAAATATGGAAGAGATGGGATTTGGTGTTGTGGGAACAACCTTGCTTCTCACTGGGATCTGCAGCCCTGAGGCCTTTCCTGGAGCATTGCTCAAGCTGCTCTTCTGGAGTGCAGCTGGCAGGACACGAGGTAGTGGGAGCACTGCTCTCTCTCTCGCTCTGTTTAAGCGAAAGCACTTGTTCAGGATGATGGACAGCCAGTTTGAAACTTTCCCTCTGCCTGAAGATACTTGACCTCCATGGCCTTCATCTCCTTCACAATAACATATTTTGGGCTCAGGGTTGTAAGATACTGTCTGACTTCAGTCTGAAATGATGCATATTTTGAAAAAAACAAGTTAGTAAATATTAACTGATATGAAGAAGACACCGTACAGCTGGGTTAGACTGTCATGTGGAAGAAGGGAGATGTAAACTCTAGACCCTCTTCCAAAGACTACTGGCTGTAAAATATTCACTGACCATGCCTGCTTTGCCAGCAGTTGCAACCATAAAGATTAAACAGCCCCAGGAGAGCAACAGCAAACCCCTGCTTGAGATGCTCGAGGGCTCTTCTAAGCACTTCAGCCCCTGTTTGTTTGGACCAGCCTGCCTCCATTTCACAAATAAAGCAATAGGGTGTAGAGTGGTGAAATGGGCATGTGAGTTATCATGCACAGCAGGAGGCAAAGTCAGAGCCTGTTCTGCTAGTACAGCTCCTAACCATCTGATGAATTTTTTAATTTCTTAATTTTTAACAAAGTCAGGTCATTTAAACTGCAATAATTATTGTACGTACCCTGTTTCATGTCAGCAAACCTGCTGAAGGAAAAAGAATATGCACAGCAGCATGTTGGGCCTGATAGGAGAATTTCCTCACCAGGGTAAAGAGTCTGAAGTATTGCATCTTCTCATACTGTAGTTAGCTTTCAAAGAGATGGGCTAAGGTCTTTACAAATAAGTAAATTATACACTCCTAGAAATGAGTGTCTTTAGTGAATATTCTGCAGCCCTTTGAACGTGAAGGTTATTTTAACTCTTCCAGGTTACTTGCCTCATGTATTCCAGGATACATCATCAGCTACTGTGCTTCAGCACGTGCATGGTGACCACAGCAGTTGTGGCATTTTGTATCTGTTGAGCTGCTGCCTGAAATTCATTTGTGTATTCTCTCTCTCCATCTTTCCTTCTTCAGGCCTGAAGCTGATTACAAATTTTTGCTCCAGTTTTAGTTCTTATTCAGCTCATTTACTCTTGACCAACCAACCTACAGTCTGTACAGAAAAATACCCTCTTTCAGGAACATACATGTATGTATCTCAACCTTCTGTTTTTAGGGTGGGAGATACTAGCATCAGGAGATGTGTTTCTGTTAACTGAAGATTCAATATACACACATCTAATGCTGAATGCAGTAAGCAAGTACGTTATGTGTGATGAATCTGACCCTAATATATTTTGGTGATGTGTTGTTTATTAACAGTTGGAGAACTGGTTAAAAAAATTACTGACAAGTGACATCCAGTTGTGATTTCCACATGATTTCACTCCTCCCCCCTTCTTTCCTTTCTTTTTCATCACTTTTGGTCTCAGATTTTATGCTGATTTCATAGGCAATTCTGGCACTTAGTTTCACTTTCTTATTGAAATTGGTTTCAAATCTATGTTGTGCCTTCCACCAGGTTTGTTAGGTCTTGCTCCATAGTTTATCACAAGTTGAAGTATTTACTCTTAAACTCACATCAGGATTAATCTCTGCTAAACAGCCCAAATTAGGTGTATAATAAAGACCCCCTGAAAACAGTGACCCACTTTGGTAGCTCCTGCCCCTCACCTGGAAATAGGAATCTGTGTTCAGTCTTTTTCATTCATACTGAAACGTGGAAATAAACACGTGCTCAGTGGTCACAGCTCAGAGGCAGTGACTTCTGAACAAATTTGATCAGTTAAATCACATCTTTAATAACTAGTCTGTTTTGTGCTGCTTTTGGCAG